CATAGTCAATCTCCCGAGGCAAAGTGGGTATAGCAACTTCCCAAAAATAATTGTAAATTGATTCGAAAATCTCTAGCCATTCTTCTGGCAATGTATCAATAAGAAGGCGGATGGCCGACGACTAATGACCAAATGTCCTAGTTGCCTCACCTCTCTCCACCTTACCAGCATCTCCCTAATGTGCTGGCTCATATCATACGCTGGATTCCACTGATACTCCTCGTATTACTTCACAATCTCATATCGACGAGGCATCATTGAGCACGTCTTCATGCATGTTCTCTTAGTCCGTGTCATTCTGTGTCAAATCAATTATAAGATCCAAATCGGTGGGTTTTTAATATTTTTTTTTCGAGGACTAAAATGAACATTTATAATTTAGTTATGTTCTAAAACTCATAAATATCTCCATCATATTCTCAAACTTGACTTTCTTAAACGCAAATTTTAGGGATTTAAGTATATAAAATCACACATAAACATTTCAAATATCATAACATAGCATAAATTTCTTAAACTTTCTTTACCTCAGAATCAGCGATTTGCGGCAATGGCAGGCATGATGCTAGCAAAATTTTATGTGACACAATTCCTAAAGTTTTGGAAATCAAGTTTATGTTTCGCAAGTCCACAGGAACGTAAACTGCGCTCTGATACCAAACTGTAAATACCCGAGTTCCGGAAACTCATGATATTACAAAGACCCTAAATTTATAAAATTCTCTCTAAATAATTCATAAAATGTAGCAGCTTAACCTGTAATAAAAACATTAAGGCTCTGGAGTACTCGTTACAAAATTTAAGAAAATTTCCGTGCGGAAAGTTTTGACTTTAGCTTGTACGATTTTCTGAAATAAATTTCATTTGACACATAATGAAGTCCAAAATTTACAAATTTTTAACTGTAGACAGTATACACATAGGGGAATTACAGGTTAAAATTTCGTAGATAAATGCAGTCAATAGATTGGTCAAAACTTCTTTCTAACCGGGGAAAATCTGTTCCTGGGTACAATCTGACAGCTCTTGGGAAAATATTCGTAACTTGAGTTTTATAGAACCAAATTCATGATTTAAATTCTGAGGGATAGATAACTCATAATGCTATCCTTTCCAACTAGAATCACCTTAAAATTTCAAGTATTCAGGTCTGGGTGAATTTTTAAACTTGGAGGTAGAAACTGGAAACACAACTGTTTGTCTCAAACACATGAAATTCGAAATCGAATATCCGGGACACGAATGAATAATAAACATAAAAGTGGCAAATCTAAAACATAAAATAAATTTCTCTAAAAATAAAATATGTAATTCATGCCAAACCGCCGCCGGATCTCCGATTAATCTTAGCTCGTGGTGATGAGGAAGTCCTATGTTGAACTGAATTCCTTCGTATTTGATATTAAAATGACTAACACGAGAGCATCAAAATTTTCCCTAAATTTCTTTACTGATGAGTGCTTAAAAATGGCGTGAAAATATGGGCTACATTATCCTAGTATTCTATTGAATGTGGCAACTAAAGTCTATTGTTGAATTAGATATCTAATTGGACTAGGACTCCCATTCCTCCTTAACAACCCAATTAACATAAATTATCTTTGATTACTATAAAATAGCATCCTAATCTTTATTGACCTACACGTGAACTAGTTTGATCCAAATTGTTTTTTTCCTATGTAGGACTCTATCTAACATTTTTAATTGCACCAAAATTCCCAAGGGGGTAACATAAACTAATCCAAATTTTGCTTTGTCATCCTAATCTCACAAGAAAATAATAATAATATAAAATAGAAAAATTAAAAGATGAAATTAGTTGACTCACGTGGCTGAAAGTAACAATTAAATCCTTAATTAACTTTAATTAAACATGTGGATTTTTTCATTTTTATTTTTTTAACATCATTATCATGGGCCTAACTTATCCGAAATGACTTTTTCTCGTACAAAGTTCATCATTTAATGTGAGTTTCGAAACAAGCCCAATATCGATATGAAATTTCTCGCTCGAAGAACACTTGATTATTTGACGGAAAGTTAAAGTTTTGACACAAAGACTTATTTTTAAATTTGTCTCTTGGTATCTCAATTGACGAAACATGTCAACATGAAATAAATGAAAATTTATTTTAGGTTGCTACAGTCACACTTAAGAAACTATATTTACTCTAAATACATAATAGTTAAGATTCATGAAATATCAATTATCACTATATAAAAAGTTACATATCAGCTAGTTGAAAAATGCAAAGAGGGATAAGCTAGTTACATGACACACGTGCCGTATTGGCAAGGTGGTGCTTCTTCATCTAGATAGGCTTGCATTACTTGTAGATCGACAAACACGAATAGTTGCAAACTTACGATCATTTTTCATTAGCCAATTTAATGTTGATGTTGGTAGATTTTATCCTCATGAAAGAGAGCGTTCAATCGACCAGTGAATCTTGTGGGGAAATGGTTGGAATCTCATCTCGAGTGCTTATCTGATATGAGAACGCGTTAGTTGTTAAAAGAAGTGAATGAACGAAAAAGGTATTTGAGTATAAGGAAAGTTAAATAATAATTTCTCCTTTTCGTTTTGAATGGACTTCGGCACTTTTTGATTTGTCCAACAAATGACACCTTGTGGCAGGAATAATGGCAAGGATAGGATTAGAAGAATTATTAGGATACTATTAGTAAGAGTGATGATAATGCGGTTACAATATCCGTTTCACGATACTGTTACGTTTCATCGATTCTATCAGTCATAGGTGGTTGCACCTTGGCCGAGATCACCAAGACAAAAAGTACATGGCCTCCACCTTTCTTATCAGTTATTCTCATTTACGTATTGTCCTCTAAGTCGATGAATAACTATCTTGTAATAACACTATGCTTAAATCATACATTCATCTCGAGATGACAATTATTTGACTGTCACATGCTTATTTTTAATAAAATTCATCTTCATTGATTCTCCTAACCTAACTAGTTAGAGTATTGTTATTCATATGTGGTGCTTAGAGATAATCGATGAAGTGGACCCAACATTTAAAATGAGAATTAAGATGATATATCAATTAAAATCATTTAAATGACACATCGTTGCTTATGGATAAGTAGTTATGATGAATGTCATTATTCAACTAGTTATGTTCTTGACAAACAACATAACATAGTTTGAACTTTGATAGACGCCCCTCAGGGCACATCCAAGTTGGCGGAACAATCACATTGGGGGCTCTAGAACCAAGCGTGGGGAGTTCAATTCCTGGTGGGAACCTTTGATCCAATAAAGGAGGAATTATTGGTGGATTAATCACCATGGAGGAGGCTTCCTTTGGGGAAGGAGTAAAAGCCATGTGGGAACCTGTGAACCAACAAGGGCACATCTTGCGATTTACCTCCCTGAGCAGCTGAGGGGCCGGAGGTTCAGGGACGAGGATATATAGTCTGGCGCAAGTTGGGACACCTCGTTTAAAAAAAAAAAAAAAAAAAAAAACTTTGATAGACACATCACTCATTTCATGAGTGATCATTAAATTTACCTTTGGGTTATTACTTGCTTATTGATCAAGAAGTTTCTACCTATATCTCGTTCGTTATTCAAACAATTACCCATCTATCCATTGAAGTGAAAGTTCATCACCCCAATTTGACGAAAATTGTTGCATGTCTGACAGAAATCAAACGTGACACATCGACGATGTTTATACTGTCGAGTTAATTAAATACCTCATTAATTATGTTTAGACTATTAATGTTATTCATTGCTTACTCATTTATTTAAACTGGAGTTCATCCATCATTGGATTAATGCTGATTTATAAGTTAGCTTTATATTATTTGAGTCGAAAAAATAGATTTTCAAGATTTCAAAAGATGAACTCAAAAAATCAATTCTTGCTTTCATGCTAATATATTAATATCAACGCAAACTCTATTTTCTAATGTGGATATACCCATATCTTTGGGTATTTGTACTTATGACATAAAACATTTATTATTATTATTTATTTTTTATTTTCATGATCAAACTCATATACAAATTGTTGTAAAATAAAAAAGACATAAAAAGATGATAACATAGATAAATATCATATTTTCTTTTTAAAGTAACATTGAGTCATTGGGAAAGCAGTTCAATAGAAATAGCGTCACATAATCCTAAGTAATTATGGTATGGGCGTTTATACCCATAATGTTAGATATGAACACTTATATTTTAGGATATTTGTAATTACTATTCAAAGTTAAACGTGCATTGCACGTTATTCTAAAATAATTTATAAGTACTATAAAAGTAATATTTGATACCAATTTTGTCGGAAGGATTTGATGAGTTTCAAGTGAATTAAAATAATAAAATTTAGGATAGAAATTTAAGACGTGAAAATTGTATTCTCAAAACTCATTTTCTATTTTTCAAATTTTTCGTGACGATGAAATAATATAAATGAGCAACTTTTTCTATACTATATTTAGTACATAAGAATTAATTGCTAACACATAAATTTAAATACCCATTAAAATTCCTAGATAATTAATTCATTTATAATAACTCTATATTCATATAGATCAACTTTCATTAAGTCAAAATTCATCTAGATTAATGTAAATGTTAATTAATTAAGAATTAATAACACGAAATTCATATATTACAAGAATTCGTATGTAAATTTAAAATTTTTCTTACTTTCTAATCAAACATTTTTCAAAAAATTACTGTTATAATTTTTTATTTTTTGTGCAAAATGAGGTCCAAACATAATCTTTTCACTCTAACGATGGATGAATTTAACACCTCATTGTACATTAAAGGAGTGTTTAGGAGTGATTTTTCACCGTTATTTCATAAGTAATTTTTTATTTCTTCTCTTATAGATATCCCATTTTTTTTTTCTAACGATCAAATAATAAAAAATAAATTTTCAAAATCAAATCCACCCGGCGGGCTCCGAGGAAGTAGCATGTGAACTATCCCGTTGTCCAATTTTTGTCCATAAAAAAAAAAATAGAATCCCGTTATCTTTCACTTTTTCTCAGTGACCGAATGGCTTTTCTTCTGCAATTGCCTTCACCTCTCAGTACATCTCGACACCATCCTCTCCCCGTCTTTACAAGTCTCACCAAAGCATCACTGTCCCATAAAATTACACAAACCCAAAATTCAATACAATTATCCAAATGGGTTCCTAATTTTCAATCCAAGTCTTTGAATTTCTTGCTTTCTGGCTCCCTAGCTCTTGCTCTATCCTTCACAGGTCAGCATCTTTGCTCTGTAACCCTCGAACTTATCAGTTGGCTGGACATTGTTACGAATAGAAAGTTAATCAAGACAGTGGCATAATTCAAGAGAATTGGGTAAAGATTTTTAATGGGTGAATTTGGAACTCTGATTTGTGAATTACTGCGTTTGAAACTTACGTGTAAAAAACTGCATATGTGAAATTTTAATATCTGGATTCGAGTTTACAGCGATATTGCCCCTTAAATAGTGGAATTTTTAACCTTGAATCTCATTGGATTCTTTCTGTTCTAAAACAAGATGTACTCCCTTCATCCCATTTATATATAGGCTAGTTTTTTTTTCACATGGATTAAGAAATCCTATTTAATGTTATTGAAAAAGCAATTCTTTGCCAAAAATTATTCTAGTTTATCTTATCTATATTTGTACAATTTCAAGATTAAGTGGAGAAAATTGATTATAATTAGGCAAATTAGACAAGGTTATATTAGTAAACCAACAAAGCAAAACATTCTAATAAAGAAACGAGAGAATATAATTGGGACAAGAAAATAAGGAAAGTCAGCCTATATAAATGGGATGGAAGGAGTATATTATATGCTTGTTCAGGACTTTTTTGTTTAATTAGGCCACAGACAATAAAGAGAATGTATTGAACTTTGTAGGAGTTGGATTTGCTGAGGGAAAGGTTGGAGTTAACAAGCCAGAATTGCTTCCTAAAGAATTCGCTTCTGTTATTGATGTTGCTGGGTTCCTTTCAGATGGTCAGGTGTGGTATACATCTTTTTATGTGCTGATTACTATGGGAGATAATGTGCATGTTTGGTTCTGTAAACTTACTTTTAATTTACTTATTGTGTCAAACTTGATTTTCATAGTACTTATTTTACCAATAAAACTTACTTTTCTAAATAGTAAGTTTTAACTTTCTAGAAATAATTCTAAGCATGCCAAATATTATTGTATCTCTTGACAAGACCCTGTTTGGTGGAGATTAAAATTAAAGTTTTAGTAGATTTTGATAAAAGTCGATGAAATGTGTGGTTGAAAAGTTGTAGTTTCGAACTCAAGAACCACCAATAGTCATTCCGAGTGGTTAATCTTGATAGGTTGCTAAATCTCTGGTCTGCAATGTGGAAATTTTGTTTGTATGTTATTGGGAGCGTCGAAAATGGATTCATTTAGTCAACCCTAAATTTACTGGGAACAAGACTTAGTTTGTTGTTATTTATATTGTATCTTGTTCCACATAAATGTAGTTGAAAGGTATTATCCATTAGAATCATTCCTATAAAGTTCCTGGAGCCTGATGATGTGGGTGCACTTTTAAATTGCTAACATACTTACATAAAAGATTGTTAAATGCATCCATTTGGGCATCTCATAACTATATCAAGCAATGGGAAATTTCCAGTCTCTATCTTGTTAATAGAACAATTCCATTTCCATGTTTGGTGCACAAAAGTAATGCATTAAAGCCTTCGCCACAAAGGACTTCAGTATGTCAATGTTCCCTGTCTATCTAACATCGCATTCTATCAAATAGTAGGGAGTTTATAGAAAAATAAAGCTCCAACTACACAAGTTGAAGAATGTTGAGAAATTTCACATATTTCATTGACAAATTCTAAATGGTACAACAACAAATATATAGGAAAGAAAACTTGAACTTACTAAAATTTTCCTCTCAGTCATGCCCTTACATCTTTCCTCTAGTTATGCCCTAACATAATCTAATAATGTTTTAACATCTCTCCTATGATTATGCTATTAAGTCAACTATACAAAGAAGGAATACAACAAGTCTACCATTTTCCACACTCCCCTCAAGCTGGTTCAAATACATTTATAGTTCCCAACTTGCATACACATGAACAGAAAGTAGTTCTTGGCAGCCATTTTCTAAGAGCATGAGCTAAAAGTTTTTTGCTGGAAACAAATGTAATGCAAATCTGTTTGCTTTCAATATTCTCTTTGATAAAAAGCATATCAACTTCGATGCGTTTAGTCCTATCATGTTGAACAGGACTGTGAACAATGCTGATAGAACAAGCTTCAATGCATCGTCTAGACTTACTTTGAGTTCCTTTAACACTATCTTTAACCACAATAGCTTAAATATTCCTTGAACTTACTAAAATTTTCCTCTCAATCATGCCCTTACATCTTTCCTCTAGTTATGCCCTAACATAATCTAATAATGCTTTAACATCTCTCCTATGATTATGCTATTAAGTCAACTATACAAAGAAGGAATACAACAAGTCTACCATTTTCCACACTCCCCTCAAGCTGGTTCAAATACATTTATAGTTCCCAACTTGCATAAACATGAACAGAAAGTAGTTCTTGGCAGCCATTTTCTAAGAGCATGAGCTAAAAGTTTTTTGCTGGAAACAAATGTAATGCAAATCTGTTTGCTTTCAATATTCTCTTTGATAAAAAGCATATCAACTTCGATGCGTTTAGTCCTATCATGTTGAACAGGATTGTGAACAATGCTGATAGAACAAGCTTCACTGCATCGTCTAGACTTACGAGTTCCTTTAACACTATCTTTAACCACAATAGCTTAAATATTCCTTGAACCATAGCTTTTGAATTCGACTTCGGCTCTTCAACTTGTCACCAGACTCACCACAATTTATTTTATCTTTCCAAATAATCAAATTCCCTCCTACAAACAAATATACAATACCTAGATGTAGAACTTCAATCATTCAAAACTAGCCAATCAGCTTCTGTATTAGCTTCAACTTGAAGATGATGGTTCTTTGAGAATAAGTTTGTTTGGAAAATTTTCAAGTGCCATAGAATCTTCAACACAACATCCATATGAGCTTCACAAGGATAATACATAAATTGACTTAACACACTAACCACACTGTAGTATTAGATCTAGTATAAGACAAATATATCAACTTACCAACCAATCTTTGGTATTGTCCTCTATGAATTGCATTACTATCGATGGTGGCTCCTAAGTTATGATTAGGTTCAATTGGCGTACCTCATTGTTTGCAACCCAACATACATATTTCTTTGAAAAGATCTAGAATATACTTCCTTTGAGAGAATATTTGTATTCAATCTTGTCATTTCAATTCCAAAAAAATATTTAAAGTTCCTAAATTTTAGTATCAAACTCTCTAGCCAGCATCCCCTTTAGTCTTCTTATTTCGTTAAAATCATTTTCGACGACACTACTTTAGTAAATCTTTCAAACCAAGCTCTAGGTAACTGTTTTAGCCAGTACAATGACTTCTTTAGTTAGTACACTTTCTTTCTACCACATGGTATCTTTGATTCCAGGAGGCAACTCCATATACACTTCCTAAAATTCTAGATCACCATGACATCAAGCTGTTAAGAAGCCAATCTAGATTATTCACGAGGGAAAAAAAGAATTCTTATTGAATTCAAATTTGTGACAAGCAAAAATTTCGTGTTAGCCACTTTCATAAGTTTGTGCAAACCCCTTGTATACAAGTCTTTCCTTTTATTTTTCAACTGTAATATGAGATTTATGCTTTATAGTAAATACTCATTTAAAACTAGCTGGCTTCCCTGGTGGAATGTGTTGACTTGTCTTGCATCATTCTTTTCAATGTCCTCATCCATCATAAAAAGCTACTTTCTACCTTGGAATCAGTATAGCATCTTGTATATGTCTTGAAACATAATCACATGAAGATAGATTTGTAGTAAATGCTCTAAAGGAAGAAGTCAATTTGTGATAGGAAAGAAATTTGGAAATAGGATGCAAAGTTCAAGGATTACCTAGAATTTTTTAGTATTTTTACACTCAGTTCTGATGATTGGTATTGTTGAGGAGAATTTGCTTTATTCCTTCTCTAATAAACCTTTAGTTCTTGATATTTATCTTGTACCTACTCGAGAGGAGCTATCAGTACTGGAGAAGAAGGTGGAGGATCTTCAAAAATGTCTAGAGAATCATTTGGTATAGTATGGGGGAACATTAGTTGCACATCAAAAATATGAGAAGATTTAGGATTACTTGAAAGTGAAGACTCAATATTAGGATGAGAAGAAAAGAAGTTCAAAATGAATTTTTAAGATCTTGATTCTCAATGAAGAAAAGTTTTGGTAAAGGAAAAAGTACTCTTAAGAAGGTAAATTTCTTGGATACAATACTTTTCATGTTGGAAGATGATAATATTTATAAAATTTTTGAGTGAAGAATATCCCGAAAAACACACCTAAGAGCCTTCAGTATGTTTATGTATGTGAACAAAAACTACGCAACTAAAAACTTTAGGTGAGATTGTTGGAAAAATGTGATTATGGATATATATTTTTTAGTGTGTCAATAGGTGTATTGAATTTTAAGTCCCTGGATGGTATTCTGTTGATTAAGTAGGTAGCACTAAAAAAAGCTTCAACAAAAAAATAAAAATAAAAAGCTTAGGAAACCCAATGGTAAACATTAAACGTCTAGCCACCTCAAGAAAATATCTCTTTATTGTCTCAGCTAGCCCATTTTATTGAGGTGTATGAACTAATTCTATTATATAATCGAAGAATTTGTATATTGGCATCTTAGCATTTATTCGGGAGTGATTTTTCCAAGTGAAAAATGATTTTTTTTGGGAAAATGTGTGGTCAACAAGTAGGGAAAGTTATGGGTCCCATAAAATGTGTGGTTGAATATAATTTTGGTGAAAACTAATTATAAGAAAAAATCTCTCCTAAACAAACTCTTAATCCTTTGTTAAAAAATTTGGAATTTTATTGCTCTTTTACATTCTTTCTTTAAGTAAATAGATCTAATTGAAATGGTTATGATCATTGATAAATTAATGAACCATCTAACCCTACAGATATAATAGTTATGAGCACCTCAAATATCATTATGAATCAATGAATAGTGTCAGAATTCTTTATACATTTGGATAGGAATATGAACTCGACAGTGTATGGATAATTCACAATTGAAAGAAGATTGCAAAACAACTCGGGAACGTGTAGAGTGGAGTTTAATGAAAGAGATTTTGACATGAGAATGTTGTTTTTAATAATAAGCATGCCGAGAAACAAGGATTACAATACCAAATTCATAGTTTAAGAGATATACCTGCGGAAGACATCTTAAATGCAAATATTGGCACTAGATTTTCTTCTCCTTGCTCCTCACAAAATGTATTAGCCATTAATGGGGCAAGCCAATAAAAACATAAGGAGACGAGAGGAACCTCTGGAATAGAAACTTATTGAGTCGTCACATTAATGACTCCAATCCTAATTAGGGTTTAAATATTTTTGGTCCACATACTTAAATTATCACATTATATAGAATATAACCGTACATAATGAAGGTGTAAAATGGTCTAAGTGATCACTCAACATTTTTGGCTTGACCATAGTATCATTATTAGCTATACATCTAATCCTTGTTGTAAAACATAAAATTTGCGATCAAATAAGAAGCTCATAGTTTGAAATTATTCTAACAGAGAATACACCATTTTTCAGCTGTAGATGAAGCTCTATGTAAGTTTTAATTTTTTGTCTACTCAAACACCGAATAGAAGAAAGAAATTTGAGTGGCTAATCATGTAATTTATGGCTATTGAATCAGTGACCCAAGAACTGCCTGAAAAGGGAGAGACATTAAGCAACAAGTCGAGTGAGCAATGCACTAAAGGATGAGATATGGATATGTCGGAACTCGCAAAAATAATGCACATTTAGGTTAAAAGGTTATTTAAAATAATATGACAAACTAGAATTCAACTAGGTTGAAACCATCCAAAACAGGCTTGAAACAGTTAAGAAATGGGATTTCGACATAAAACAGTCAGAAGACAAAACTTACAACAATTTAGGCCGGCAAACAATTAGTAGGACACCTGATACAATAAAGAATTTTAAGAAATTTCATTTGTGGATTCTGAATGATACAACAATAAATATATAGGCAAGAAAAACTAACAACTTCCTAAAATTTTCCGTTTAATCATGCCCTGACATCTATTCTCCTATTATGTTCTAACATCTATCCTATTATTACACTAATTAAGTCTACTATATAATAAAGGAATGCAACTAATTACAACAATTTTCCCAACAAATATCCTAAGCTTTCCGAGTGATCTGCAGGAGAAAAGACTTGCGCAAGAGATTGCTGCCCTTGAAAAGGATACTGGATTTAAATTGAGAGTTCTGGCTCAGAATTACCCTGATACACCAGGTAGGACTACTGATACACAAACAGCTTCCTATAAATTTATTAGAATTGTGAATATAAGAGAAGTTTGTGTTGGAGAATGTGAAGTCTAATCATAATGTTCACTTATCCTCTCAGTAGTGGATCGACCTGATTTCCAATGATATATAAAGAACGTGAGGGGGGCATTTTTTATGAGACGCAAACTTGAGAGTCATGATATCTCCTTTGTATACTTATACTTCTCAATTTTAGTGGAAAACCTGCAATGGCGAGTGAACATAGCTCTGACATTGAGGATGAAACACTATAAATCTTTGAATTTGCTTATGTGCTTCTGATTGCTATTCACTTATTATTGCTATTGGAAATTAGGCATTAAGAATCGATAAAAGTTTATCCTTTGAATATTTTGCAGGTTTAGCAATTAAAGAATTCTGGAAAGTGGATGATAGAACAATTGTATTTGTCGCGGATCCAACCTTCGGTAAATGTCTAGAGAAGTGGATGTCTCTCCATATATGCAATAATAACTAATGTATTCTGCTTTGTCTTTGATCAGGAAACATATTGAATTTCAATGTTGGAGCTACTGTGGATTTAGACATACCACGTAGCTTCTGGAGCCGATTGGCCGGGAAATATGGGAACATCTTTTATTGGAAAGAAAAGGTCAAATTTCTTTGACATCTCTACCTCGTCTTAATTTAAAATTCGACTTATGTGTTATTTCAATGAGAAATGAGTATTATCTGCTCTTTCTGAACAGGGAGAGGATGCATCTATTGAATCTGCTGTTATGGCAATATCGGCCTGCTTAAGAGAACCAGTAGTTGCAAATAATTGCTCGGAGGTAAAGTGAACCCTGTTTCCTCAGGACAATATATTCTAAGAGTCCAGGAATTTTGTCCAGTGCAGGCAAAAATTAATCAAGGTTGAATTTTTTGATTATGGATTTAATGATATTATAACAATGCTAAAAATGACATAGCGACAACACTAATAAAATAATCATCTTCTTTCTTATTTTAGGATTTGTAGCGAGTTGTGCAGCATCAAAATCAATTTTATTCGATATCTCCTCATCAATATTTTTTATGAAATATTTCCTTTTAAAGAATCTCTTCATTGGCACTTGACACTAAAATAAATCACAAGTGACAATTAGATACTAATTGATAAGAAAATAACTACTAATTTTTACAAATTGGTAAGCACCAGAAAATTATCACTAATTGTTTAGCTAATTGACAGAAATCAAGATTTCAAGAATCCATCACAAATATTACCAATATTCAACATTCACATAATCAAAATATCTAATATTAAGGGGGTGTTTGAGCCACATTATTTTGGTAATAATACATTCTTGAATAGTGTATTGATGGGAAATGTGTAGTTAAAAGATAAGAATTTTTTTTTTATCTGCATGTAATATTATTTTATTGAAGAATGTGTGGGTGAAATGATATCAAGTCATTGTTTAAGAATGTATTTTTTTTGGAATAATGTGGCTCAAATAGGCCCTAAACAAAAAAAATCACATGATCAAAAAGTTTTTGTTGCAAATTTGAGGGCCCAAGAAATTGTGGGTTTTAGGAAAGAAATGAAAAAAAAAATTCAAAACGAAGGCAAATTAAAAGAAAATTTTTAATTTCTTATCGCGGGGAAAGAGTTAGAAAATGTCACCGTGCACTTGGAATTTGGGCAAATTAGTGTATGGGCTGGACTATAAATAAATGAAAACCTAAATTAAAAAAAAAATAAAAAAAATTAGATTGATTTTGGGCTTGGGCCAAAGTTTCAGTGCGGGCATTTGCCTACACTGAACCTTGAATGGCTCCGCCCATGTCTGTATGGCAAAGGAAAAAAATTGTGTCCGTGAACCTAAGAAGTAGTGAGAATTCTTGATCTCTTTCATTTCGAAAATCCAAGCATGTGATGATAGACAACAAAGGGGCTGTTTCTTTAATGTTTCAGGTTTTGTCACTCCATTTATGTGAAACATGAACGGACATTGATGTCATGTAATACTTGATTATTTGCATAAAAAAGTTGACTTGGCTGTAACGATGTGTTTCTTGATTTCCCTTCAACACGAGAGCGCGCACTGTACGCATCCACGAGCAAGGAGAAGAAGGGTTATTAAACATTCTTTAACTTCCTATTTGCTTGTCAGTGTTGAAACAAAAAAATCCTGATTATATATCACTGAGAACAACAAAATCATAATAAGGAAACAGGCATACAAGAACAAACAAAATTTATAGAGATTCACTTGAATGTAAGATTACATTTTTGTCTATTGTTGACTTGTTGCATTAATTCACTATGAGGGGGAAAAAAAAAAAGGAAAAAAGTTTACATAAAAATTTTTTGTCATTTTTTCTTTAACCTCTTTCATTTTTATGATCATTCAAAAATTCTAATGATAGTTACCAACGTATTGACTTTGCACAACAATAATTACGTTTTACAACTACATATAAAAATCTATGTTTAAAGCCTGTTTGGTTTGGAATAAAATCTGGTTTTAATCTAAATTAAAGTCAAATAATCAATATTAACCACATATTTTATGGGTTCCACAACTTTTCAAACACATATTTTAAAAATTTCAATTACATTTACGAAAAAACTTATTTTAATCTTAACCAAATACTCTCTTAGTATATTTTGATTAAAGTTGGTGAAATATGTAGTTTAAAAGTTATGGATCCACGAATGTACGTGTAGGGATGGCAATGGGCTGAGCTGACCCACGAATTCAGCTCGGGCTCATGGCGGGCCAAGCTCGTGGCTCGTGAAAGACAAGCCAAGCTCGAGCTCAGCTCATTGCTTTGGTTTTGAGCTAGTGATTTTTTAATTTTTTTTTGGTAAATTTGCACATTTTTTGGCTTTTTTTCTGTAAATTTGTATATTTTTTGACAAACAACTCGTGGGCTCGTCAAAAATGGCTCGTGGGATTGAGCTCCCTGTTCGGCCCCTTGCTCGGCTCGGGCTCATCATTTGAAGAGCTCGAGCCGCCCATTAGCCGAGCCGTTTGACATTCCTATGTGCGTGTGATTAAATTTAATAGTTAATTTGATTTAGATTTAAATTTAATTTTCTAATTGAATCAAAAAGGGGGCACAATAGACATCACGTGTGAAAATAAGTGTGGCCACGGTTTTTCTAAATTTCTCCCTGATTTTCTGCAAAGATTGACATGAAAAAAAATGACTTCTGTTGACTTTTATATTTTGGAGAATCGTGCGAGAATTTAAACAAAAGAATTGGAAGATAAGCTAATGCTTATCCAAAAATTGGAGACAGTCAAAAAGAAGTTAAGAATGATGACAAACCTACTTTCCCATGATCTAAAAAGTCTACAATTCTACATTCAAAACCTTGAAAATAAATTTGGAAAACATGCTCACAACAGATGCCGTGTTCCACCTTTTTTTGACTTAAATATCATAATTGTCTGCCATTAGTAGCAGCCACAGACACAAGTATACTGGGGAAAATGTATCGTTAGTTCTCAACTATAACTCTAGTAACAAGTCGGTTTCCAAATTTAACCCGCGTTTAGCGTTTGAGTGAGAGTGATTTTGACCGAATGTGCAGTTAAAAAATTACGAAAATACGTGAAAATAATTTGTTTAAAAAATGTGCAGTTGAAAATGAGTATTGAGTGAAAGTGATTTCGAGAAAATAAATTCAAATAGGCATTTAGAAATATGAAGTGATGCCTATTTGATATAGCTTCCGCCTTCAGCTTCTTGTAGAAGAGTTTTCTGATAAAATTATTTTTAAATTAGTTTCCTCTGAAAAATTCTCCAAATAGTTTCAAAATCAGTTTCCTAGCCTCGAAAATAGTTTTTGCATTTTGAAAGCATTACCAAATAGTCGCATATTTCCTTAAGTATTACATCCCGATATAATGAAATATTGGATGATTTTAGTGATTGTACAATTATAATGACATACTGGGGACTAACTTGCTCTTTTTTATAAAGTTGAGCCCGACTTACTACTTTAGACAATTAAATGAAAACAAAGGATAATAAAAATATCGGGAGTTTTAAGCATATTATCTAATTTTGAATATTATTGCAATAATGATTATGGAAAAAAACGTGTAATATATTTGTAAATTTTAGTTTTCATTGTTGTTCAATTTAACGTATCAAACCTACACATAATTATCTCGATCAATCATATTTTGTTACCGTAAACGAGATTTTATTTTCTTTTTATTATAAAGAATTATGGCTGCATGCTGCAAGACAGGATTTCGTTGTCGAGTTGGTTTTCTCTTTTAAATCAATGTATTTGTGGGTGCACAAACCGAACCCATGTACGAGTCACATAAAACGTGCCACGAATGGCGTCCAAATTCAAATTCCAACTTTGAATTACGTATAAAATTTCCTCTTTGATGATTATTCCATCGGATTCCCAAATCGTTGACCCTTTTCTGTCTCGGATCCGACCCAAATATGATGACTCATGACATGCATTACACGGCATACATCCATGTCAACATCACAGACAGTGAGTAGCCTGTATGTATATGTTGAGAAGCAGCCAGGAAACTGGGTGAAGCAATGGAATTCGCCGAGTCAGCATTAGTCTTTTTGGAATTGAATTGATGTAGTAATCCATTTACCAATTAAATATTTATATGTTTCGTCAAGTGCAGTGTCTAAACTAACACGTCGTCAATGGTTTTGTCATGTGAAATATATAGTGACGAGGATTAAAATCAGATTTTTAAATAAATTTTGACAAAAGTTGATAAAATACGTTATTAAAAAGTTGTGAGTCATATGAAATATGGTTAAAATTAATTGTTGACTTTGACCTAAATTAAAGTTTGATTTTTATTTTCCAGCAAACACAAACTTAGTTTTTCATGTAATTAATACTTTATATTGAGACATATGATTTAGTAAGTATCAGTGCTCGTTTTATGTTAAGCACCGATTACATGTTATATTAATTTGTTTACGGAAATTTTTGTGATGAATCTTAACAATTTGAATTGAATTTGTTATTCATCAATAAATTCATATAACATGTCGTTAGTACTTAATTTTTCGACTAATGAATTAATATGATATGTCTGCTTAATGTCAAATGAGTATCGGTGTTCATTAAATCTTTTCTTTTATATTGGAGTTGTATTATATTTTATGATGAAGGTAGATTCGAAATATATTAATTATTGATATTTGAATGTCCAATACTTTTTGAACAAATGATTCAAGCATATGATTTATGGATGCCAAATATATGCATTCATTTTGCTTGAGAAACCTAATAATTTTGCTAGACTAGACTAGACTATAGTTTTATTCTATCAAATGACTATACTTTAATTTGATTTTAATCAAATCATTTCATTCAATATCATTAACAGGACTTATGAAATTTGATGACATGACAGTGAATAGATGATGATCATCATTTACTTTATTGAAGCTGCACTTGTTCTACTTCATCAACTAATGACGACATGCGATGATCATCATTTATTAGTGATTATATCAATAATTTTTGTTAGTGAAATTGGATAGAAAAAACCTTAAATAAAATCAAATCAAGTGTAGTTGCCCCGATTGAAAAAAGTGTAGTGATTGGGTTTGACAAATTATAGTAACATGATTTATATTAGATTAAAATTAGCAAATGGAATTTATCCATAATACCTAAGTATATTCACAGTTATTATACTTTTCATTCTAGTATCGATCATATAATTGTACTTCAATTTTATTCAATTGAGTAACTTTATTATAATTTATTTCACCAAAGTTACAAAGAGAACCAAGTACAAACCAAGTAAGCAATTTTTCGCCTTAAAACTTTACGATAGTAAATATTAATAATTTACATATTTACGAACTTTAGATAGTTACTTGATAGGATAAACTGTAGGCACTAAATAATAAATAATATTGAAAAATGTTATGGAAGTAAGAGTCCGTTTGATTGTAAAGGTAGAATTTGGGTGGAGAGAAAATGAATTTCAGGGAATTGAATTGTCTAAAAATTATTTTCCTGAGAATTGTAAATTATTGTGTTTGATTGGTATAATTTTTCACGTAGAAAATGTGGAAATAAAAGTGTTTCTTTGTATTCGTTTCACTTTGTTTTATATGAAAATTGTCAGTTAAAGGGCTAGAATTTACTATTATTGGGAATGAAATTTTTTTCCATTGCCAAAAAAAATAAAAAAATTAAGAAAATCATATATTTTTTTATGTTCATTTGACTTTGTTTTATATGAAAATTGTCCACTAAAATGAAAGAATTTGTTACAATTGTTAATAAAAATTTTTCCATTGCCAAAAAAAACTAAAAAAAATACAATGTCAACCTAGAAAATGAAAAACCACCTAATACATAAAAAAATGAATTCCTCCATTTCGTGGAAAAGGTGCACCTCTGGCTGAAAGTTGGAATTTCAATTTTCTAGAAAATTGATGTCATCAAATATGTAAAAACTTTGAAAAGAGAAAATCTTTTCCATTTTCCATGGAAAAGTTGCCATATCAAACATAGCCTAAGAGAATTGGAGATAAGTTCAACAATGAATCGATGATTCATGTATGTAGGATTTTAATAGGAATTACAATGTGAACAGAACACGTTCTCCTGGATGAGACAAAACCATAAAACATCTAAATTAGGGACGAGAAAATTCTTTGCCTCAAAAAATAAAAAATGAAAAGAATCAACAAAAATTCTTCAAGTACAGAAAATATTTGCCAGATTTTTGAATTCTCACACGCATGAGAGTGGGCCCGTGTATAAAATATTGAGAAAAAAAATTCCCGCCTTCAAATGTGATTGTTCGGTAGGTACAGGGATTTAAATTCCTGTACCTATAGCAAGGTTGAAATTACAATGAAGTTTTGATTACGCAAAATCTGTAAAATCGAAAAGGTTGTGGAAATAAATGGAAATCACATTTACCAATGCACAAAAATCGAAAAGGTTGTCGAAATAAATACTTGATTTTTGTTTGGAATTTAAAAATAATTATATAAAAACTCAGGATTCATGGGGCCTATGACAGCCTTGTTTGTTGAGAATACCACACACTCGACAAACCCCACACACATTGAAGGCATAAGTATCACAAATAAAAAGTTAACACGCTTACAAAAAGTTGAGGACCCCTAAAGAAATTTACGCGCAACCTCCTTAACACGCTTACAAAAAGTTAAGGACCCATAAAGAAATTTACGCGTAACCTCCTAGCATTTGGTACCATATATGAGGGGCCAACCGGCTCGGGCCAGCCCTCTCTTTCGTTAGTCAAGTAGAGAGAGTTGTATTTCAACTACGCACGTTACAACTAACACGGAAAAATTAAACTGAAATAGCACGCAAGTATCTTTAGGCTCCCGTTCGGTAGCAATTTTTCATCTCAAAAACTCAATTTTTTTATTGTTATTTTACTATTTCAGGCATCATTTTTTATTTCTTCACTTACTGTTAGAACCCATTTTTCTCTCGAACGATTAAAAAAATCAATTCTCAAAATCACTATCAAATAGGTTCTAGATCTTCCTTTGGAAAATCATGGACGAAAAAAATGTAGGCACGTGCAATCCATGGTTCTTACTTTTACGATCAAATACGGAACAAGATTTAATTTGTTATTATTCTATATAACGTGAATACATTAGTGAAACAAAATTGAATGTTTGATTTAACTAATTACATACGAAGTAAAAGCTAAACCATCCCTACAGCAATCCTAAAACAAACTGTTCTCATTATATGTATACTTCTTTGAATATATACTTAGCCCTTTTTTTTCTTTTTGCCTACTTTAACACCAATTCAAAGACATTGAAATGGTGCTCGATATATTTTTCCTTACTTAATACTTATTTGGGATTATTATATTCTTAATGGTCGGAATTTGTTTTAGTGAGATATGCAGATGTAGGTTATCTCTCTGATCCGCATAAAACTAAATCATAAACAGGATGTGTTTACACATGATGGAACAACTATATCATGAAGATCCGTGAAGCAATCATTGATAGCAATATCCTCAAATTATTCTAAAATTATTGCAATTCATGAAGCAGATCAAGAATGTGTATGGATTGAGGAACATGGCCTATTTTATCCAAGTATTATGCAAGTTAATTTCAATGAAAGATAGTTCAACAATCTTGTATAGAGATAATGCAACTTGTATTGCACAACTCAAAAGAGACTATATCAAAGATGATCGAACGAAACATATTTTTTTCAAAATTCTTTCATTCAAAAGAATGGCGACATTAATGTCAAACAAATTCGCTTAAGTGACAATGTGACCGCTTTATTCACAAAGCATTGCCAACATCCACATTCAAGAAATTGGTTCATGAGATTGGAATGCGTCGACTCAAAATTTTTTAGTTACTAAAATTAAGGAGAGTAGCCGTACTTTTTTTTTCATTCGCTTAGATTTTATCCCACTAAGTTTTTCTGGCAATGTTTTAATGAGACATCGTCTATTTTTAATACTCCAAAATAACTGTACTTTTTTTTTCCTTCGTTTGATTTTTTTTGTCTCCTTAAATTTTTATCAAACAAGGTTTTAATATTTTGTAATGTGTTATTCAAGGGAGAGTGTTGTATATGGTAAGTTTATTAATTAATGATAAATATACTCCTACAACCCTAGAAATTATCATCGTTGTATCCATAATTCTTCCCTATAAATATAGGACTTCACTTTTTAATAAAATACACGCAAATCTATTTATTTTTATTCTTTCTTCTCTATCTCTCATTTCATAACAACTGATATATATTAGATTAAAATTATAGTTATTGCAAATAGAATTTATCCATAATACCTAAGCATATATTCATAGTTATTATACTTTTCATTTTTGTATCAATCATATAATTGTACTTCAATTTTATTGAATCGAATAACTCTATCGTAATTTATTTCACCAAGTTACAAAAAGAATTGAGTGCAAACCAAGTAAACAATTTTTTGCCTTGACACTGTACGTTAGTAAATATTAATAATTTACATATTTACAAACTTTAGATTCTAAAAGTTACTTAATAGGATAAACTGTAGGACTAAATGGTAAATAATATTGAAAAAAGTTATGGAACTAAGTGCATGTTTGGTATTGATTTTTTATCTCAAAAAAATTAATTTTTTGATTGTTATTTCACTATTCCACTTGTCATTTTTTACTTCTTCTTTTTAATGGTCAAAAAATCAATTCTCAAAATGACTACCGAACTAGCCCTATAAGAATTAGAGATAAGTTCAACAATAAATCGATGATTCGCGTATATAGGATTTTAATAGGCATTACAATCTGATCAGAACATGATATCTTGGATTAGGAAAAACCATATAACATCTAAATTGGGGACGAGAAAATTCTAAAAAATGAAAAGAATTAACAACATTTAAAATCAAGTTTTGGTTACACAAAATCTGAAAAATCGAGAAGGATGTGGAAATAAATGGAAATCAGTCGATCACATTTACCAATGCACAAAAATACAAATTAAAAAACTCATCTTGTACAACTTTCGTTGTAGAGGGTCATGCAACAAACCAAATTTTTACGAGATTTATGTAAAAGTTAAAGGCATAATTTTAGATCTTGAAATTGAAAATGAAAGTAACGATCTGAAAAAATTATGCTAGGTGCATACTGTACCAATCTAAAAATTAGTGTTTTGACGGAATTATATAAAAATGATGAAAATTTAAGGAGTTAAAAGTCAAACTTCAAAGATTGTTGTTGAATTTATTAGATTAGCTAAACATTAAGACTAATTACGATAAATTTCCAAAGAAATAATAGAACGTGAAATTAAGGATTCAGAGTTGAACCTTAGTCTTCACGTCAAGGCAACAATAATGGACATCAACAACTTAAAAAGTGAAACTCTGTGTGTTATATTGAAGTTTCGAAATAAATATTTGATTTTTGCTTGGAATTTAAAAAATAATTATATAAAAACTCAGGATTCATGGGGCCTATGACAGCCTTGTTTGTTGAGAATGCCTCACGCTCGACAAAACCGACACACATTGAAGACATGGGTATCACAAATAAAAAGTTAACACGCTTTCAAAAAGTTGAGGACCCCAAAAAATTTTTTTTTTTTTTTTTTTTTTTTTCTTTCATGGACGAAAAAAATGTAAGCACTTGCAATCAACGGCTCTTACTTTTACGATCAAATATGCAAACAAGATTTAATTAGTTATTATTCTATATAACGTGAATACATTAGTGAAACAAAATTGAATATTTGATTTAACTAAAAACATACAAAGAAAACACTAAACCACTCCAACAACCGTCCTAAAACAAACTGCTCTCATTATATGTGTACTTCCCAGAATATATACTTTGCCTGTTTTTTCCTCTTACCCTATTTTCTTTTTGTACAGTATTTCAACTTACTACCTAAATGACAAGGCTGTGCCATTTTCACATGATGAAGCAAGCATTAGGGTTTTCATCGCTGAACATTTGATCGGTGTCGTGCAAATAAGTCGGCAGCGGAGGTGGCGGCGGCCCGGGTGCATACTGCGCCACATGACCAGTATAGGCATAATCTTGGTGGGGCTGGTACATCGGCACACCATAGCCTTGATGTGCATAACTTTGGTTGTACATAGGCACAGCATAGTGTGTTTCTGGATTGTACCCATGGAACTCCATTTTGTTTATCTCCATCTTCTTCCCTTCACTTTTGCTTCCTTCTCCACCACCAGTGGCAGCTTTGGCACCGTCTTTCTTCTCACCTTCGCCTTCTTTCCCCTTCTTGTCTCCGCCTCCTTCAGCTTTCTTTGGAAGGACAATTTCTATGCTCCTCTGTAGTTTCTCTTTCAAGTATGCCGTGAGGTGCTTCACATCCATTGTCCCAATTACTGTTACTAAATCTTTTTGTAAGTCCGTCGATACGGATTTAACCCCTGTTGAACAAGACAGCAAATATCCTCGTTAAAATCATTAATGAGCAAAATACAGCTAATGAAACAATAATCTAAGTGGTGAAATACATAATGGTGAACAATTCCCGAGCTGTTCTGTAAATATAACAAGAAAGAATGGCCAAATAGATTTGGGTAGACAACAACAAATTTACTGAAATAATATTTAATTTGTTGATTCATAAACAGAGTTGATTAACCACTAATTAAATCAAACATAGATAGCCCAACTCACCATCAATATTTTTTGATATGGTCCGCTTTATCTTACGTGCGCATCCGTCACAATGCAGTTTAATCTTCATAAACACCGTACTCTCCACGGGCTAAATAATCACCACATAATAGATATAAATTAATCAAGATCAAATCAAAACAATGGAATCAAGTAATATGACATATTACATAAAATAAAGACAGTGAGTAGAGATCTAAAATAGTACCTCTTTCGGCTTTTTATCCTCAGTTTTCTTTTCTTCGACTTTCTTTTCAGATTTTTCTTGAGACTTCTTGTCACCTCCGGCGCCACCATTGCCATCCTTCTTTGGCTGGGGCGAAACTAGCACTGCCTTCTTCTTTGTCTTATATTCAACTCTCTCGTGAAGCCATGAGGGATCCACCTTCCCCGTCACTGTCAGTTTGCCGCTTTCCCAGTCAGCTTTCACGTCCTCAACACCTTCAAAATTGGACCACAGCACAAAAACGTTAGGTCCCAGCCAGACTAAAGTCTAATTGAATTAATTATCACCAATAAAAATACAAGAAAATGTTGAAATTGACATTGATATAGAATTGGTGAAGTGTAACAGTAAATTTTGTCGTAGAATTTGACTGTAAAAGTGGATCTAAAGATAGTTTCATCAGAGACCAGAAAAGCATGTACCAACCAAAAATTGTTATACTACCCTTGATAAGCATATGAATTTTCAAGGAAAGATACATAACATCAAAGTTAATACAGTCTGTTGTAATTACGAATATTCTAATTGTACAATTAACTGAACCTGGTGATAAATAGGATTAAACAAAGTGTGATACAAACAGGATTAATCTAATCGACTCAGCGAACTGTGTGATAAATAGGATTTCTGTAATTGAGTCAATTTATTGAGATAATTTGAACTATGAGTGAAACAAATTGGATTATGAAACTCATATTAGGTTGTAGATTATCTGTTTCCAAAGAAAATAGGACCTGGAATTGATTTCACACTCTACCGACCATGAATAATGATTAATTTCCAGTTAATTTGCTTGCCAAATTGGTACTTTCAGCCAAATTTTGTCACCAACTCACCTAATCATTATATTAAACAAACAAATTTTGCAAATATTAAAAAAAAAAATTATTTCCAGTACCTTCAAAATGACGAACGGAGCGCTTGACTTTCTGCGCACAGCCTTCGCAATGCAAGTCCAGCTTCAACACGACGGTGGTGGAGCCGTCGTCTTTCTTTCCGCCACCACTGTCGGCCGCCTTCTTCTCGCCTTTATTCTTTTTCTCATTTTTCTGAAACCAAACCGAATAAATTGAGTAGAGTGATCGTTTTTCCGTATACATACTGTATGAATTTGAATTTACGAATCCTCACGAAAATTGATTAAATTAGGAGGAAATAATTACCTCACCCATTGGATGTGATCTTCGAGTAGTAGTCGTCTCTTATGTGATTATTGTAGAATTACAATATAAATTGATTGACTTGAAGAGAATTTCTAATCGGAGGCAACCGTCTACTTATATAGAGAATTCTAGATTAGGGAGGGGGAGAGAAAGAGTGAGGGAGTATGTATGTATATGCGTGTGTATATGTATGTATGCGGATGGCATGGTATGATATGGAAATAAGAGGCCGCCGGAAAAGACTAAACCGGTTTTGCGGGGGCCCGGTTTTACCATCTAACTTTGACCATGTAAATTGACTGACTTGTCCTCGCACTCTAAACCAAAATTAGGCGAGAATCTACCAAGTACGGCATATATATACATACAATTTACACACCTCCAAAAGACTCACAATAATACAATGATAACAATGTTTTTTACATGTTTGTTCTTAGGATTTTTGATTATTCTAATATAATCTTAATAAATTATTTTAGAACTTTTTTATTCCTGTATTTATTTAACTTTAGCAACTTGTATTTGTTTGAAGAGTATTTTACATTTGTAAAGCATTAGCATTGTACATGTTTCAATAATGTTATTTTTTAAACAAAACTGTTACACAACTCCTCACATGCTAGGAGGTCCACAAATTGAATATTTATTCGTAAATCATTTCATATGAAAGAACTGTATATTTGCAAAGCACTATATAAATAGTCTTTTCCTTTTTATTATTATTATTTTTTTTATAATGATAAGAGTGTAAACACGCCACTTCAAACTACACCTCATTGGGTCAAAATCATGACTTCTTGACAAGTAAATTCATGTAATGGACGAAATTTAAGTTTATCATAAATCCATATGTAAATATAAATAAATATTTTTTTGAAAAAATTAAATTTTCAGATGAATTGATTAACTATAATGTCTCAACAAGCAATTGGCCAAGAATATACCAAGTACCGCATATATATATATATATATATATATATATATACACACACACACACACACACACAATTTACACAACTCCAAAAGACTTAGAATAATACAATGATAACAATGTTTTTTACATATTTGTTCTTAGGATTCTTGATAATTCTAATATAATCTTAATAAATTATTTAGCACTTTTTTATTCGTGTATTTATTCAACTTTAGCAATTTGTATTTGTTTGAAGAGTATTTTACATTTGTAAAACATTAGCATTGTACGTGTTTAATAATATTATTTTTTAAACAAATATGTTACACAGCTCCATCACAGGTGATCTCCACTTTTCTCCTAACGGTCAAAAAATCAATTCTCAAAATCACTCTCAAATCAAGCCTAGTAATATTATACAAAAAGACAAGCACACTGTGAATGCAATTAGGCGGCATTTCATTTTCTTCTTTTTGTTACTTCATTGCCTTTTTAGGAGGCAACATAATTATGAAGATATTTTTGTCTTTAAAGTATATAAGTCAGATAATATATTCCAAGAAGAAAATATTTTTATGATTCTGAAACTCACATTTCAAACGTTATGTTATACAAAATATGTACATTAACAAGATTATGTAATAAGCATACAATTTTTATCGTTAATCTCGTTTAATAATATTCTATTTATTCTATTTGATATAGAAAGGCCAAATAATCTAGTTCTAAAAAGAAAAGAGTTGAAGTAAATTTAAGGATGTTGCTGAATTCACAGCATTTGCTGTACAGCAGCGTTTACAGCCCTAACTCAAGGTTGGAGTCCGCGATTATTTTAATCGTGGACTCCACCCGATGCATGTGTGTATGTGTGTGAATAATATTGTACACATTTGTTGTATACATAGCATGTTCCTAAATTTAATAGGGAAATGGAAATCAAAGTTTGGCCTCAATTGTTGTAATCAATGTTCAATTGCCACTTGTAAGTTTTAAGCAAGACCAGGTCCCTACCCCTTTGTATGAAGTCTCTTGTCGCTTTCTTTCAATTATACACGCGCGCGCGAATTAATAGTTTCAATTACGATATAGTACTATGTACATAAATGTAGTACCTTAAGACTTCAATACTAAGTTTAGACAAGATTTAGTATTTTTTGCGTGTCCAAAACATATTTGTGGGTAAATGGACTACATTCATTTGCAATCGATATTTTGCTAAAATATATATGAGTTGAAAAAGTAGTGTTTGGACGAGATTTCATGTTTTTCATGTGTCCAACATATTTGCAGGTAACTGGGCAGCATCCATAACTTCAATGATTTTGAAATCGATATTTTTCTAAAATATCTATGAGTAAAAAATTAGATATTTCTCTAAAATGTTAGTGAGGAATAGACCAGATAACATGGACCATTTTGAGATGAATTTTAATTGACTATATGGTATGGACCTTTCCTTCAACATAAAATTTAAATAAATTACATCTCATAATTAGATAATCTAATTATCGAGTCACATCATTTGCATGTTTCATACTTATTTAATCCAACTTATTTTAAATCCCTAGATGCCGACAAAACTAAACTATTCCGATGTATTTGCTCGCTAAGAAAGTTTGAATTTATATAGTAGAAGTAAAATTGTACTTATTTAATAATAATTTAGATCAAAAAAATTGAAACATGTAGATCCATGTCATATGGCATACATCGGTCAATATTAGCAGCCCTGTGAAATTACGATATAACACATCCATCTCATGCTATGTTGGACATATACGAATGTAATGAATGATGCTGCCCTGTGGGGCATAGCCTGGTGGTGTAAAGGACAGAAGTGAGGTTATCTCACGTCTAGCTGGCAGCCGCAGTGTGGGAGGTTCGATTCCTGAAACATGGAATTGGACTCCTTGTAGGCGCAGTGTACATGCAGCTCTTATTGTCTGACCTGTTGGACCACATCCCCCGATTTATTTTCCTCACAAAGCTCTAAAAACGAGACGGTGAGAGCCCTCAAAATTGGGATTCAATATTATGGCATGAATGATGCAAATCTAACTTACATCAAAATGTCTGCGCCCAGAACCAGGTACGTCTCCCTTTACACCACGATGAAGAGCCCGATTGTTGGAATTAAGACATTTCCACATGCTGAAAATTAATATTGAAGCTGACACGTTTGACTTTAATGCCACTTTTTGACCAAAAGTAGATGGTGCATAGAGACTTGAGAGGGTGAGTTAAATGACTCCACTTGAGTCCTAGGCGACGCCTTTTTGATTATTGAGCTTTCGATCGAGTTGTTTAGATTACGAAATTTCATCTCTAGTTGAGAAGAATTATGAATTTTCTCGAGAGGGAAAGGAATGAAAAGATATCAATATGCATGTATTGAGATTGATCACCAATAATTAAATTAATAAATGAAATTGTAACTTAAATTGGGCCACGTAAAATAAAATGAATGTTTAAATGTTGCCTAGATTAGAAATATGTTAATTATGGTAGTTAGTGCATCGTTGTTAGTCTAATAACAATTAATGAAATTGAAATTTATTATCAAAATAATTGTCAATTATGCCTCATTTCTACTAATCATCATATGTCATGTATATGAAATTCGTGACACAAGAGATTTTGATTTGTAATTATACTAAACTAATTGTGGAGTTTAAAATGTAGTGTATAAATGATTATTACAAAGAAAATTCTACTTGTACATAATTATTGCACATAATGGTGTCTATGATGTGATGTGACAATCATCCGGTTGTTGATGTGAAATTGTGAGATTTGAATTAAAAGTTGGATTCAGTGCCACGTGTAATTATGGATACTATGTAGACAATTATTTACATGTATCACTTCCCTTATTACAACTACAATGCGTAAAGATAAACTCTCAAAGTGTAAAAAGTCAACCAATCGACCCAAAACTTCTTCAACACCATCGATAGAATGTTTTATGATGTTGGGTTCAGATTTGTACCACACCGGATTATACACCATCGTCCACGGGAATAACAATGAATATACAAAGAAAAGATCCGCGCGAAAGCCACCAAGAATTTCGCCTGAGATATAAAATGTTCCCACTTGGTTACCTCTCTATGCTTTCTTTCTATTGTCATGCCAAGTCCAAATGAAAGAAATCAAGAAGTCTTGTAATTATAGAGTCAAATCCATTTAAATTCAAAATTCAAATATTATACTATGGTCAAGTATGAGTGTAACAAGACTAGCATAGGAGAATTGACCGTAAGATTAAACCCAACCATTGTATTTAATCTATGGTTCAAGATATTCCTAAACTAGCACAATCCACATAAATCTCTCTAGACCAATTTACTTGTAGCATGTGGATGGTGTGATCTACCTCATAAATCTCCACCTCGGATCACATAACATCCATCACCGAATTCCCGAATTACAAGTGATATCCATTAGTGTGGTCTTATTTTTATCATCATCGCTCACTCCAACTCAGTACCTGCACAACAATTAACCATTATCAATACTGAGTATTGATAAAACATTTGTTGAACTTATCAACCGCAATTACTTTTATTCCAACTTATGCAGGGTCACATGTTGTAATTTTAAGCAAAATAAAATTACCAGAAGCTAATTTCTCCTTAATGAAGTAATACTTCACCTCAATATGCTTAGAACGTTTATAATAAACAGGATTTTTACACAACATTAATGAACTTTCACTATCAGTAAAAATCATAGCATTATCATTCAGGAAGTTTAATTCACACAAAAGGCCTTTCAGCCAAATGCATTCCTTTACAGCTTCAGTTAATACAACATATTCTGTTTCAGTACTGGAGAGTATAACTATAGATTGCAACTGTGATTGTTAAGTGATACAATTATCACATAAAGTGAAGAAGTAAGGAGTGGTAGATTTCTTCTGATCTTTATCCCCTGCAAAGTCAAAATTTACATATCCTTTAAACTCTAATTTTTTACTTCCACTTTTAAACACTAATCCCCTTTTCAAAGTTCCAACTAGGTATCTTAACAGTCATTTAAGTACAATCCAATACGGTTTCCCTGGGTTAGACATAACCTCCTCAAGAAACTAACTGCATATGCAAGGTCCGATCTTGTAGTAATCATAGAACACATCACAGACCCAATGACATTAGCATAGGGAACATTACTCATTTCATGCGTTTCTTCTTCAATTTTAGGGCATTGTGCAGATGATATATTCTTGTGTGCAGCT